ACAAGAACTATCGTAATGCTGAAATATTTTAAACTTTCAAAAGGAAACATTTTACCTGCCCTTTAAGGGTTGCTAAGCACAGTGGCCTTTAACCTCTTACATCACTTTAAAAATCCTTTAGAATCATGTGTTAATTATGACCCAGTGGATGCCAAACTATGAATTCCTTCTTGATGAGACTCGAAAGCGAAGAGACAAAGACCTCGTGTAGGTTTATTGTCCTGCTGTTTTGGCAGCTTTTCAACCAGTTTTAAGCTTCTTCATGCACGCCATTGATTTACTACAAGAAAAGGTGAATAATTTTGCTGAACAATAAAAGCAGAGTCCAACAGAGGCTAGGATGACAGATTTGCCTGGTTAATAATAACCTTAAACTTCCAATAACCAAGGTTAAGTTGGCTGAAACTATAGAATTCTAGACCTACTATATTGCCTAATTCTGCCAATTTATTTTCAAATTTTGAAAATGGAAGCTCTGATTTTACCTGGCTTTCCTAAGGGCATAGATCTATGCCAGATCTTCAACTCGGATCTCCTAATGGCCTCTACACTGTAGGGCTGGCTACCTATAATTAATTTCATCAGCTTATAGAGCACGTCCTCTTTGAGAAAAGCATGCTACTGTTAAATCTCCATGGTGAGCTGAAATGCAAGGGGAAAATAAAAGTTACAGTTATTATTTCACAGAGAAATACTGATCCACATATGGAAGGCCGTCAAGTTTGTCTGTCTCATTTAGCCTCTCTATTAAAAACTCTCATGACCGGTAGAGGGGTGGGAGTGAAATTTTTCCAGGTATACCTCCCTGTTTTGATTGGATCCATGTGAATATATTAACTAAAAAGAGGTGGGGATAGTGGGGGTGGATTTACCAACTATTACTGTTTTCCTCCAATTTGGAATATTCCTCTGAAATACAGAAGAGTTATGTGGCTTAACAGCACACATGTAGCAGAGTTTTGACAACTTCCAATCTGTGTCTTGCTTATTAAGTCAGAGGCCTTTTGATTAATCTGTTCTTGTGCCTGCATATATCACAGTAAACAGTATGAAGTCTATTGCTGGGAAAGTTGAAGGATAGATACAATATGCCTATCTTCTGTTACAAACATCATGGGATTTTTATTTCCTCAAAGTAATTTTGGTAATCAGTATGATGGAAATGTTTACAGATGTTCAGGTACCAATAGTGATATCTCTAGTAAATATTCAAAGATATTTTATTTATTTCCTCAAAGTAATTTTGGTAATCAGTATGATGGAAATGTTTACAGATGTTCAGGTATCAATAGTGATATCTCTAGTAAATATTCAAACATATTTTTTTTTCTGTGTTAGTTGAGTTGCTGGTGCTGTGTCAAATGTGTTCAGTTCAATAGTTACTTC